CTTCTTGCTCCTAGTAGTAAGGCCAGGAGCCCCTAGTAGTGTCCTTGTTCCTATAGTAGCGATGCCAGGAGCCCCTATAGTAGCTTCTTGCTCCTAGTAAGGCCAGGAGCCCCTAGTAGTGTCCTTGCTCTACTTCCAAGTGCTTCCACCGTGGCGACTGAGGTTTGAGAAGGGCCGATGCACACAGATCAACGGCAAGGCCGTCACACCGCTGCAGGCGGTGCAGCAGTGCAACCTCATCGCCGGACGCAATGGCATTGGACTGTGCCAGGCCTCGGACGCCCAAACCGGAGCAACACCGGGGTGTCCAGTTGGGACCTAGCGGACCGGAGGCAGCTCAGATGTGGGGTGCATCCTACCGATTTGAGTGGATAACCCCATGAGCTCCGATGTTTCAAGCCCCTTCTTGAAAGTGTGTGACCCAAGATCCGATCCAAGTTTCCGGTCTTTGCACACCTTTCCGATCAGCACGACCTCGGACAGATTCTGATTGAAGGTCAGGTCGACACGAACTCGATGGACCTCTGGACGGGTCTCCTTGGGGATCCGATTCCAGAGGCTTTGGAGAATCGGATCTTGGGCACGAAATCCAGAGGCGTCTATGAAGCCCCAGGACCCGACCGGGAGACTGACGGGCGACTGGGGAGAGGGGAGAGGAGGCAAGCTGAGTCGACTGACCTCTTGAAAACGGTTGCAGGACCATTGAAAGTTGCTTCGGGATTCGGGACTGTGATTTGTTCTTGGAAGAACCTTGTGTACACATGCACGGTTTCTTTGATGTTCTTTGTTTGTTCATGGTTGTTCAGGTGCTGGATGGTTCTGGAAATCCAAGGGTGATCCTGCAAGTGGGCCCAGTCTGAGATGAACGCACAATTCCCATCGGAAGGTCATTCTGGAGTATCATCGCTTCCAAGTCTTGAATTGATGATTCATCATATAATCAAATGATATATGCATGTTTATGCCATTTACTGTACTCTGAAGGGGTCTTATTTAAAGAAAATATCTATATAACAAGGCATCCGCATCAGGGCATCAAGGCATCTTCATCCTCCCATTGTGCCATCATCTACCTCTGCAGTAGAACTTGCAAAGACAAACACACACACTGACCTAAAGAAAAACACATTTTAAAAAACAGATGTTGAACATGATGTTTCTTTTGCCGGTCCTGCGAGGAATGACGCTCCTGGGGCACGCCTTGGACTGTGTATACATGTCGGTGCTAGCCCGGAGGTCTACAGCTCTCTTCAGGCGACGATGACGACGTCGCCATTCAGAGCGATCACCGAGTTGGTTGTGGACGTAGGTCAAGGTCAGCTCAAGAACTCGGACCATGCAAGTCGCATTTGTTTCTCCCACCGTAATGTAGACTCTTTTTGATTCAAAAGCTTCATTGACCCCAATTGGATTGACAAAACTCTTTGTTTATCAAAAGCAATTAATGGACAAAAAGATGGACCAGGACCAGTTCTTTCTGCGTCCTTCGGCCCGTCGCTACGGAACTTCACCAAACCCCCCGGCTTTGCGCCGCACACAGCGGTGGACTGGTCGTGGGGGCCAGCCTGGGTCACACGTGGCAAGTCGAGTATCGACGTCCGGTCCCACATGCCATTGGGAGTCGAGCATGAAAGAACGTGTTAGGGCAAGCGTCCAAAGTATGCATGCAACCCGACCGGCCAACATATGATTGCAAGAAAGTCATTCTCTTTGGCGTACAAAGTCGATGTCCCACGTTTGATGTCCCACGTTCGATTAGTAGGGATTCGTCAGGTCAGCGGATCGACTGATCAAAACTGCCAGGCAACTGAGTACCCACATCTCTGACCAGATCTACGATGGTCGCTACTTCGACCCCTCCACACGTGCAGCCATCAATGCGGTGTGGCAACTGGCGGAGCCGGCGAATGGCACGGTGAAGCTGGGCCTTCACAAGGGCCACATGTGGCCTGACAAGGAATGAGTTAGGGGGGAAGTGGGTTTTGATGTGGAAAAGTATCAGACTGAGTATAGATCCCCAAATAAGATAGACAAGTAACCGAGGTGAGTGAACGTGTCCGATTCCATGTTTTGTGTCTTTTGTGTTGGAGTGTGGTTGAGTAGGACTGTAGGAAAAGAAGGCTGTTTTGGACCGACCATATGTATGTCATATTTGATCTCAGAATAGAGAAACGGGATAGGCAGAGCCCTTCTTACCGCCCTCATTATTGCGTTACTTCAGTTACTTCATGCTTCTATTGAAGGGTAGACATAGAGACTACCTTCAACCCCAGTGCGGATCCCGGTAAATTATTCCAAAAAGCAATTCAAGGGGTAAAGATCAGTCTAGGACCCCTTATCGTGTTGTTTGCAATTCAACGATAGGCAGAGCCCTTCAACACCCGTCTGGGAAACCTTCCCAAAGAGCTGTCGATTCTGCTTCTTCCTTCCTTTGCTTGCTGCTGCTGCTGCTGCTGCTGCTTCTTTTTAAATATGTCCCATGAGTCCTCTTCTTTGTTTGTTTGTTTGTTGTTTTCTTCTTCCTCTTCTTCTCATCCTTTTTCTTCTTCTCTTTTTTTTGCCTCATGTTCTTTTTGTTCGTCGTCCAGCTTCTGTTTTCCTTTTTTTTTCTGCTCCTGTTTTTCTGCCAGCATAGCACACAGTGAAGATCACAGTAGCAGAGCCCTTTTCTCGTTAATGAAGGGTCTCCACCTGTGAAAAACAGAATGGTAGTGGTCATATATTTGTTCCTTGCTTCTCACATGGCAACGCAGAATCGACGACGTCTTGAAACTGGAGCTGTACATGTTGATGCATGTCCCATTGTATTGTGTGTGTAGGTGTATACATTGCTTTTGTTGATAAGTTGTTCTTTGCATGTCAAGTTGTTTTTGTTTATTACATGTTTGTTCACATGATATGTGGACACTACTGGCTGATTTTTTTTGGCTGGCGGATCACCAATTCGTTTGGTGCAACCCACTACGTGCAACAACGATCCACTAGAGCTATAATAAAGCAACAAACAAAAACATCTGACCACTAGGTTGAACGGGATTCTCAAAATACAGGTGTTAATTGTGAAGCTTTTGAGAAAAACACACAATGTTGATGGAGCATGTTGGAGATTCTTAGTCCTGCCTGCGATGAGGCTAGAGCCCTCTTGTGCACGCTGTTGCGCACCACCACATTTCTTAAAATGCTGTTTCAGCAACTCGTTCTGAACCGTGCGTTCAATTGTTAGTTCGTGAACTTACAGGGTTTAGTTACAAGTTGTTTACGAAAATTAAGTTGATAGTTTAAACCTAAGTAAAACGTAAGTTCTCTAAGTGCTACTTGTAAATTTATTAAGTCTCACCAGTGATATAAGCAAGTAACTTGCACGTTCCACAAGTAAAAACCGACCACCAAGTAGTTAGAGTGCCACCTTTAGGTGTTTTGTGGTTGGCCTGCAACATGTTTCTTTGGTTTAAAACATATTTACCTGCAACCTCAAATGATCAAACATAATTGTCCATTCAGAAATTCCTGTGCACTACACGTCTTTCAGGAAAAAACATAAAAGTCATTTGAAATGCACGTTTTCTGATTGTAGCCCTTTGGGCTGTATTCGGTAGCATTTTTCCACTTCCGAAGCCTGTCATTCGGTGACAAATGAGAACATGCAGCTTTGTCAGAAGTATTGAGATACCTTTGTGGGTCGAAGGGTGTGCCCATCCCAAAGGAATGGCGTCCGCTGCTCCCTCAAGAGATTTGGAGCTTGTCAAACCAGCAGGGCTCCATTTTGTTGAAGAAAAGTCCCGCGTGACATTTGTTCTACCCGGAAATTCCCATCAAATACACGTCTTTACCCGTCCAGTACACGGTTTTTCCCGTCCTATACACATCTTTCCCACCCAACACACATCTTTCCCTGTCCACTACCCCACAGTCACGAAGCTCATGAGTCTGTGGTGGGACATGTTAGCAGGATATGTCAGAGAGTGAGCTCAAGAACTGCAAGCCACAGAGTGCTAGACCGGATCCGTACAGTATCAAAATGAAATGGGAGATTCATGGAGATTCGGAAGTTGAGCTGGAAGCGCAGGCTCCGGCGCAAATGACAAGCAGGGCCTTCTTGTGTGTTTCAAGACAGGACCATGCTCACAGACATGCACAATCCTGTGTTCAAGTGCACAGATTTCTGTAGAGTACACGGAAATCTCCTCCAAAATCAAGAGCACAACATTTTTTGCCCAATGAAGATGCAGGTATATATACGTATATTAATTATTTACATTTCAACATCGACACGGGCCGGCTATCCCCGAGTGACTCCCCGACCAAGAGCGCAAAAGAAACAGCCCTGGCTCAACCCTGGTTGGTGTGATGACTCCAGCCTGTGGCCAAACAGTAGCGTCCGATTGCGCCGTTCGGAGCGATGCCCCTTGTTACTAGTAGCTTCTTGTTCTTCGTAGTAGTGTCAGGAGCGATGTTCGTAGCGTCCTTGCTACTATGTGTTCTGGTTTGATGCCAAGACGTGCTGTAGCACTAAGAGTGGTAAAGGGAGAACCTCAACACCCAGTGGATATTTCAATTTCTATGTCGGTATGCCTTGGCAAAACCATGATCCTGATCCACAAAAACACCCAGCAAGACCTCTATAACAATCCCTTAATCCCTTGTTTGGGTCATTGCCAATGTGCACTTGTAGGTTGGTTTTGTTTGTGTGAGTCAGATCCATGCGATTTGACTGGATGGTGCCATGGATTCAAGCCTATTCTCCAAGTCATGGACTGTGGTATATGGTTTCATCTCCAAATGTTGGTGAGAACTCGGCCACTCGGCAGAAGAGGTTCTTCTTGGCGCTCACCCAGTGCCCCCACAGCATTTACTTCGAAGAGGATTCCTCCATGGAAGCCTCTACCGGATTGACCCTCGGCACTAGGAATTAGAAAAACGAACCGTCCAGCACGATCAGCGGTTCCGTTCAGACATCGGGGCAGGTCAGCCGGCGCGTCAGATTGGGTTCCAAGCAGATGAGAGAACTGAACAATGACCGTAGGATCTTTGTAGGGGTTCATTTGGATTCATGAATGTGGACTCATGTATGCGGGGTTCTATAGTTCTGGAATCTCATGATTATCGTGTGGAGCTTTTGTGAGACGTTTGCAAACATGAGAGAATGGCACCTGGCACACTGTTTCAGGATCAACCCCCTTTGTGCCCTGCACCATCACCCAGTGCCCCCTTGGGCGTTCCATCACTCGCCCCCGCATCCGAGGAACCCCGCCAGCTCGCAGGGCTACCTGGAGGTGTCCTCTGTCGAAGCGAAGGCTTTGGCGAAGGCCAAGCTCATCGACACCGACAGCGTCTGGCAGAAGCGCCAGAAGATCGGTGCTTAGATGCGCCCAGGGTTGGGCCCGAAAGTGGGGCCTGGAACCGGGGCGTGAAAAAAGAGGCAGATGAGTTGCACCATGAGTCAAGCAAAAAAATGAAAAGATTTATGTAGATATTTCGAGTGTTTTGTGAGGGACCGCTTGGGTGCGGTGTGGAAGTTAGCAATGTTTTTTTACAATTTGTTTCATTTTTAGAAAAGGATTTGAATTGGAAGCTAAGTAATCCCGTCCACCTATTAAGAAACACGGCCCCCCCCACCCCCTATTAAGAAAACCTCGGGTGCATTTTTTTAATTGGGGGTCCCTGAAATCGGGGTTGTCCAAAATAGGGTCACCTGGGAAGAGCTTCAAAACCAAAAAGTCACCCAGGATTTTTTTTTTATAAAATCCGTAATTAAACTCGTATAAAAAAGCAAAAAACCCTCAGATCGAAGGTTATCTTTTCCCCTACGCTGTTTTTTAGAACAGTGAGTCAGTGAGTATTCATTAGGCTAACAACTAAAGCTTTCGAAAGGTGATGTCGCTGTGCCATGCGGTTTTGCGTGACCTTGGTGGCAAGTGCATTCGCGTGAGTCCGTGCCATTGGGTGAAGGAAAACCTGTTGGTGTAAACGCGGCGTGTCATGGTGGATAGACAGGGTGGACAGAGGTGGGCAGTTACGGTTGTTTTTGGAACCTAATGAAAAAACTACACCAAAATCGGCCATGTTGGTAGTTTAGTAGCGGCTTTAAAGGGTGGTAACTTAAAAGCAAATATAAGCCGTACTAAGGGGGTTCCGACATGAGTTTTTAATTGGTGTCCTTTTGTACTATAGGTACTCGGAACTATGTTTCTAATGTAAGTGGAATCAGGGTGAGATGGAATCCAACACCCCATATGTTTGTCCAATCACCTACCACAAGCATATACAACTTAGGTTATATGACTATATGATAGATGTATAGTAGTACTTATAGCCAAAGAAAATCAACCCACCAGTAATAAAAGTCACGTTCACAAAAGAACACTTTGGCCCAACCCTGACAGTGTGGACGCGGTGGCCTCGTCTACCGTGGAACACAGGGGTTGAAGTTTTCGACTCTTCCTTTGACTCGGATCCAAGCTCTTCACGGCCGAACAGAGCCGATAAAGAGGTAAAGAAGGGCATACAAAGGGCGACGTTACACATGATGACTACGACGGCAGCAAAACATGTTTAGTTGTTTGCTTTCGAAGTTGCGATCTGATGGATTGGAGATCCAGATCGACGATCCGAGTTGGGAAGGACATTTTGAGCCAACGTCATTAGATGTTGCACTTATACACAAATTTCATAGATCGAATGCCACCAGATTTGCCCGCGCATTTGAGCGAAAAAGAATCCAGCTTGTTCCAAGCACTCGTTGTATATTTGCAAACGTGTTGGTCGTGTTTGTTCGTCCGGTTGTCTCAAAAAACGGGTCTAGTGGGACTTCCTAGGATGTGCCATTGCATGCAGTGACGTGGCAATGAAAAACACTAGTATCAGGTTGTCATCTAACATGTTTTAAACATAATAATATAGTAATATATAAATTCATGTTTTTTTTCAAGTCTGTCTCAATACTTTTGAAAGGAATCCACATCCTCCCCACCGGAGGTTGATGATTCCCTTTTGCCTCCGAACCGTGGATCTGGTCAAACCCGAAAGACGGAGCTCCGTCTATACCCTGCGAGATGAAGGCACACACACACAGGTGGGTCCTTTTTGAGTTCAATTCATTTTGACCACCCAAAAGCAATGTTTTTACTAAAATGAACATGTTTATTCATATGGCATGTTGTATGACAGCGAAAAAAAAAGAGTCAGAATATTTTCCTGGAGATAGGACTCATGATTCTTTGTTTCGTTATTGATCGATCGTAGAAGACCTTGGGTGACTTTAGGCAAGCTGATCCTAGCTGCTCCTCCCTGATGCACGCTGATCCCTTACGGCTCGCCGCGGTGAGGTTCGCCCCGTGATCCGACCGCCGTACGTGCGATGGAATCGGGTTGACAGGAGGCCCGTACGGAGTACCGGCCGAACGTCTCAAGTTTCAATGACAAGCTGTGCCCGGGACTTGGTGTTTTTTTCCATCTTTGTGACCGGAACATGTGGAACACATGTGGGTTCAATGATTTTGGGGCGGGAAGTGATTTTGCCACATAAGCTTACTCTACACACATTGGCTGACCGCTGCATCCCTTGGCCGACCAATTCCAGTCTTTCAGTTTGCCGCTAGGTCTGACCGGCGTGGCAAATCTGAGCGTTAGCGATTCACCCTGCTGTTTCACCAATAATGTGAGTGGCTCCAACGGTCGCGGCAAAAAGGAGGGGTCACGTGTTCTTGGTGAGCCACTGATGAATGATCAGCTAGATTGTTCCAAGATATCGTCTTCTCCGGGTGAGACGCCGGTGATGCAACTTTTTCATTTTTTCACGACCTCGCAACTCCTAAAGAAAGTGCGTGGGGACTTCCATGGTTGTGCCGTTCTGTTTAGTGCAAGCTGTGGATGAAATGTGCAGAGTTTTGTGCCAAATGTTGCAACCCCCAAGAAATGGAAGTGAAGGGGGGGGCCCCCCAAAGCATGGTGAGCAAACGTGGTGAGCACCTACAAAGAGATCCACAGGTCACCACCGACTCTACGCTATTCTGATCCATATATAAATAGTCTGTTCTATTCATGTTTCATTCATGTTTATTCCCTATTCTATTCAAGTTCCATTTTCGATTCTTCTGCAGATGCTTCTATGATGTTCTAATGTGTCCATTCATGTCAACCGTTTCGACGTCCTCACGGCTCCCAGCCCTGCTCCCATGCACCCAGCCGCCGCGCACCGCGCCGCGCCGTGCGCGCCGGCCGCGCCACGTGGCGCGGGTGGCGCGGGGCGGGTCGGGTCGAAGTGGCGCCTTCAGTGGGCGGTGTCTGGGATGAGAATGGAAGTCGGCAGCGGGAGAATGGGATGAGAATGGGGGAGCTCCACTGACTGGGCTGGGTGTTGTTGTTATTTATTTATTTCTGCGCTTCGTGGAGCGTTGTTTAGTTGTTTTGTAGACGGTCCTTTGTTGCAGGATTTGGGAGTTGAGAATTTGGAGTTCTTTTTTAGGGAGTGGTTTCAGTGGCCATGTCAGTGTTCTGTCGTAATAGAGTCTTCAGTCAGTTCTATGACACACAGAAGCGAGTTACCTCCACAGAGGGAGAGCGTGTTTTGACAACGTTTTACTATGTCAAGACCAGTTCTTTGCCAATCAACTTGCCAAGTAAGGTGGCCACAGTAAGTGTTGATGCTTGGCGACAATGCCATGCTCGGCACCGTCGAACTTTTGGCAGAGTGCCCAGACGTTGTTGCAACGGACACACAAAGAGATCATTGCCACCTCGCAGGTTGACAGTGACTCTGGCAGCACCGGATGGCCGATTCGAGACCAGTAGTATGGTCGATCTGACCAGTATGCAGGTCAGTTGAGAGAAGAGTGACTCACCCAAATCGATCGATTGGTCAAGATGATTGCAGGTTCTCCAGTTGATTTACGGTTTTTTTTGGAGCGATGTATTTGGGGTCCATCTATTTTGCCTTTTCTATGGGGAAGACGGTGGGTCTTGGTTGGTGTGGGCCAAATTTTCCAGCGAGCTACACCAAACGTCAACAGTTGCATGGAGGAGGGATCGTTTACTGTAGAAGGATTTTGAATGTAGAGCCAGCTGCCATCAGGTGCCACTTTTTGCTTGCTAGAGGCCCCGTGCCACGACGCTCTTTGCTTCGCGGGCCCCTAGCCCCTCTTGCTTGGGTCACATAAGGAAGTGAATGGTCGCAATGTTATGGATTTCATGCATCAAGGCGTATTGAGAACGGCCATGGTGAAATCTTCATCAGAGCTTGGCAAGTACCCCGTGGCCTACTGTGGTCCTCACCTTGCACTTCCTCCACCTCACTTCCCCCACATGTACCTCACTGGGCAGTCACAGAGGGCCTCCTCCTAGGTGATCAGCGGCCGCCAGCCCTTCTTGGAAGCCACCGTTCATGACCTCAACCACCTACGTCCGCAGCCTCCGGCGGACGTGGCCTCATCAATGCGCACGGTGCAGGCGGATTGGCATGCAGATCGGCCACCGCCCAGTGCGCAGTGGATGGGGCAGGAGAACGGAACTTCCAGCGTTGCATGCCGGGCGTTGCGGGTGTCACTTGGGGTGAGAGAAGTGACGGTGGGTGGCAAAGACCTTCCGAAGTGACGAAGTGAGAGTAGGGTGTCCAAAACGTCTGAAAACGGATGTGAGGGGCGATGTGACGTGTCCCGTCTAGTGTTGTGCTGTCTCCACAACGATTGCCACTTCCTGCTTCGTGCGTAAGCGAAGAACAAAGCAGACAGTCGGAATCGACCGCTGATAGTGTATACGTGTATCAATTTCGAGGTCTTGGCCTTTCCAACCACGAGAAGACCAAGCAACGAAAGGATTGTGATTTGTTAATTAAACAGAGCACGCCGAGATCGTTTTTCCATGTTTTCCCCTAAGACTTCGGCACCTTCTTGGCGATGGCGCGATTGGTAAGTCGATCGGTGTGAAGCACCGGGTGCTGTCGTCGGTGTGAGGACCTTGATATGGCCCTGCTCCACGCAGAGCAGCACCTTAGAGCTGAATATGGGATGTGTGGATTTGAATAGAGCTGTTACCCCCCCCAAGGGGGCCAAAATGGACTCTAATTATGTAATGTTTACCAAGGCGCAGGGGGCATTTGTCAGTGCAAGAAATTCCATGGCTGTAGTCTAGCTGAGAGCTAAACTTTGGGTGACTCCGACAAGAACACCTCTCAATACCTTCCCCACGCTAGCAATTATTGCCAAGTTGTTGTCGAACTGTTGACAATGGTTGCAGCAGAAGTGATGGAAGCGTTGTTGCATGCGGAGGAAGTGATTATGGACCAGTTCTGGGCAATGCAACGTTCCATCTCTCATGTCTCGGCTGCAGTACTTACTCGTACGTAAGTTGCCATTCGCTAC